GATGAGAGACGGAAGGATAAAGTCACGCCAGACGAGAGACGGAAGGATAAAGTCATGCCGGACGAGAGACAGACAGATGAGAGACGGAAGGATAAAGTCATGCCGGACGAGAGACAGACAGATGAGAGACGGAAGGATAAAGTCATGCCGGACGAGAGACAGACAGATGAGAGACGGAAGGATAAAGTCACGCCAGACGAGAGACGGACAGATGAGAGACGGAAGGATAAAGTCACGCCGGACGAGAGACGGAAGGATAAAGTCATGCCGGACGAGAGACAGACAGATGAGAGACGGAAGGATAAAGTCATGCCGGACGAGAGACGGACAGATGAGAGACGGAAGGATAAAGTCACGCCAGACGAGAGACGGAAGGATAAAGTCACGCCGGACGTGAGACGGACAGATGAGAGACGGAAGGATAAAGTCACGCCGGACGAGAGACGGAAGGATAAAGTCACGCCAGCGAAGAGACGGACTGATAAAGTCACGCCAGCGAAGAGACGGACTGATAAAGTCACGCCAGCGAAGAGAGTGACGACAATGAAGACGGTCGCTGAACGAAGGAGGATTTTACCGTCCAGAAAGATAATTTTAGCAGCAAAGACGCTTTCTGCTCGCAGGAAACGCACACTGAACAGAAAGATAATTTCAACCACCAAGAAACGGATAGACGCTCATAATCTCAAGCAGGTTTGTGTGATGCAAGTTTAGCGACCTTTAAAGGGTTGGTTCACTCAAAAATGAAAATCAGGCTGTGTTTTACTCACCCCCGAGGCATCCTAGGTGTATACGACTTTCTTCTTTCAGACGAATCCAGTCGGAGTTATATTAAAAAGTGTCCTGGCTGTTCCAAGCTCTGTCATTGCAATCAGCGGGTGTTGCATGCTTCAGTCCAAAAGAAGTGAAATAAAAAGCGGCCATCCATTAAAAAAAAGTGTCTCACGGCTCCGGGGGGTGAACAAAGGCCTCCTGTAGTGAATCGATGCGTTTTTTCGTACACTTTTACTTATGGATGGGCGCTTTTTATTTCACTTCTTTTGGACTGAAGCATGCAACACCCGCTGATTGCAATGACAGAGCTTGGAACAGCCAGGACACTTTTTAATATAACTCCGACTGGATTCGTCTGAAAGAAGAAAGTCATATACACCTAGGATGCCTCGTGGGTGAGTAAAACACAGCCTAATTTTCATTTTTGGGTGAACTAACCCTTTAACCTTGGATTGTGTCAGAACATGAGTTGTTAATGTTGTTTTTTGTGTTGCAATCCTCCAGCCCTTGAGGATCACGCGCTCCACTGCAGATCTGACCCAGACCTCAAACCAAATCACTGCCACGCCGGCGAAGCCAGCCGCTCTGAAACGAAAACGCTCTCAAACTGAATCTGATGTGAAGGAAGACGCTCATGTTCCTCTTCCTGTGACGGACAGCTCCGCCCTCTCCCCCCCAGCAGGTGAACTCAAGTCTTTTAATTAAGATTTGACATGAAATCTGGCATTAAAAAAAATAGAAAATAGGCACTACTCGTTTCATTTTGTGAGTTATTTTAAAGCTGCAATATGGCAGATGTGCATAAAAAGTAGCTAGTACAAACAAAAAATCAGTTCAAATTTGTATTCTTGCCTTATGCTGATTCAAAATTTTTTATTAAATTACATTTTAGTATCAAAAAGCATGTCTAATTAATTGCAACCTTGAAACTTATACAATTTAACTTTTTTTTTTTTTTTTTTTAAGTTTAACAAAAAATGCTTTCTTTCAAAGGTTTTTTCTTTAAAAAAGGCCTTAGGCGTTTTATTTTCTTCCTAAATTCTGTGCTTTCCGTTTTATTTGTTCTGGGTTCCATTTTAATAGTTAAAGTACATTTTAGTAATTATAAATCATGTTTAATTAATTGTGATCATGAAACTTATATAATTTAACAACCATTTATCAAAGTTTTTTTTTTTTCAAATTCTGTTTTATTTTTCCCAAATAGTTTTCCATTTTAATTTGGATTCCATTGTAATGGTTTAATTCAATTTTAGTACAAAATTTTAATAAATTAATGCATAAAAAAGCATGTCTAATCAGTTTAATTTATTGTTTGAATTTTACTGTTAAAATGGAGAAGAAAATTGTGCTATTCCTGCATGTATATAATATATTTTTTACGTTTACATTTAAATAAAAAGCATGTTTAATCAAATTCAGTTCAATTTTCTTCAAAATCTTAATCGTCAAACATCATGTGCAATCAAATCGATTTTGATTAGAATTATTAATCAATTACAATTACATTTTCCCCAAATTCTGTGTTTTTGAATTATGCGTTTCTTTGAGAAGTATGTTTTACAATAGTAATTTATTTCTGTCATAATTTCTTCAGATTAAGCTAAACTTTTATTTTGGCGGTTTGCAGCGATGACAAACACTGACAGGGATGAGTAACATTGAGCAATAATATCATATTCACTTTTCAATCTAATCTAAGAAAGTCCTGCTTGCTATATTTCCTGCTCAATATTCAGTTTCACTCAGAAATAAGTCCCATTACCGAAATGAAATGCTTAAAGCTGTTATTATAAGTTTAGATTATAATGCAGAGGGTTATTATAACCATAAAAAGCTGCTTATCTGATCAGAGCCGCTCGATTTACAGATTCAAAGAGGAAACGGCTCACAGTGGAGCAGACTCCTGCACCAGAAGAACTGGAGAAGAGCGAGGTCAAGAAGATAAACGCACAAGACAAGCCTGAACAGACAGAGACGGTGAATAAACCCAAGCAGACGAAGAGCGACGTGCTGATTGTCTCTGAAAAGCAGGACGAGACAAAAGAGGAGAAGAAAGCGATAGATGAAGAGGTGAGCGCGGACGAGAGCGCTTTGGAGATACGGAGGAGCAGCAGCGGTCTGACGTCTGTCTGTGTCTCTCAGAAGAGCAAGATCCTGGCCGAGAAGAGGCAGAGCGTGCTGAAGTCGCTGCAGGGATTGGTGACGTCTACAAGAGGAAAGACACAGACCGGCGCAGAACAGACGATGCACTGCGAGGAGCCGCAGAAATGGCCCGAGAGGAGCCGCGGGGCCCGGAGCCCCCTCAAACCCACAGCCGAGGAGGAGGAGGAGGAGGAGAAAGATCCGGAGCAGAACGGAGAGCGTGACAGCAGGAACACAGAGTGAGTGAGATCAGTCAGCACTAGGGATGTAACCATATCAAAATTAACATTTTGTACATTTTAAAGTTCAATTATTCTATCTAATGCACTTTGAGAGTTCACAAATTAGAGCTCCGACTTTTTCTTAACTAAGAAAACTTAAAGGCAGAGTAAGTGATTTCTGGTAGCCAATGTTGATATTTGAAATCACCAAAACAAACACGCCCCTACCCCAAAAGGGTCTTGCCCCTATTTTGATAGCTCCGCCCCACACATACGTACGCAACCCAGGCAACGATTAGTTCTGTGAAACAAAGCCAAACCAATGTTGCACCGTGTCTACGGACGTGAGCGGCACAGCGCAACAAATCCCCGACAGAAAACTGCTGCCGGGTTCTATTTATGACGTGCTGACACACATCTCAAATGGTTTTCAAAGCTCGTTTGATCGCGTCCAGTGTAGGCAGACTTAAGCTGTTGGAGACACGGTGTTACTCACCTATTGAGAAGAAACAAAGCACCCTCGGCGTCCGATCGCAGGCCTCCGCTCCTCGAGTTCTCTCCAGCGCTGGAAAGCTGATCCGATATTTACACGGGTCCTACTTCTTGCCTTATCCTTCCGCAGACGTTTTCCTGACTCAACCCTCAGTTTTGTTATCGCGATACCACGATATTGATAATATCGTTACATCCCGAGTCAGCACTGATGAGTCTCTGAATGTAGCTCATAGTTAAGTTTCCATCCACATGCAGAAACAGGGTTCCCACGGATCCTTAAAAAGACTTCAATTTAGTTTGATCAAATTTAAGTCCATAAAAAGTCTTAGGCTGATGATACACTGGGCAACTTTTCGGGCAATGTTGCCGTCAACGGGCAACCAGGTGAGACACGGCCCACGACCGATCTAAAATATCTAGATAGAAATTTGTTACCCATTCTCAATGGAAAAGTGCCCAAGTAGACTTGTGCCGGTATTCGGTAATGCGATATATCACGGTAATGAATATGCACGGTATTGTTATCGTGGGCACTTCTAAATACCGTGAATAATTATATATTACAAATTATTCAGAATTTTGAATGCATTTTAAGAATACTTTTCCCATCAACTGGTCAAAATGCACAACAGTGCTGTATGCTGCTTGAAAGAGGCGTGCGCACTCTGATGTAAACCAGCGCGGACGAGAAGCACACGGCGGAGCATGAGAGAGACGCTCTGGAGGAAAGCACACTTTCACTCTCTTACAGCAGATGAAGCTGAACTGCAGAAATAATAATAATAATAATTCATTTAAATGAAACCCTGTAAACAAAGCAGCTGCACTACTTTGTTTCTGAATCGTGTTTAAATGATTTAAACAGCCATTCAGATTTGTGTATTTGCTCTGATGTTCATCACAGCGCCAAATACTTAAATATTGAGACTTAATAGGCTATTTATTTTCAAACTTTTTTTACATTTTAATCTGGACTACAACATGCCCTAGATATTGTTTGAAAGTGTTTTGATTCTTTATTGTTCGGTCACACTTTACATTAGGGCTTCATTAGTTAACATTAGTTAATTCATTAGTTAACATAAACTGCCAATGAAAAATTCTTCTGAACATTCATTAATCTTAGGTATTACAATATTTAATAACACTTTGTTAAAAAGTTGCAACTGTGTTATTTAATGAGCTAACATGAACTAAGACTTGTATTTTTTTTAAACAAAGATTAATAACGTCTGTAGCAAATGTAGCTATTGCTCATTGTGAATGTTAATGCATTAACTAAGCTTAACTAATGAGTAGGGCTGTCGCGGTGAGGGAATTTCCCTTGCGGTAATTTTGAGGGGCTCAATAGCGCGCGGTTTGCAGTATTATCGCCACACACACACATATATATGTCAGTCAGTGCAGTTACAGTGTTACGCCACAAGGTGGTGGAAAGGGACTGTCATTCAACTACACGCTCAAAAACACGGATTCATTCATTCAAAGAGACGTAATGAAACCCGCTGTTGAAATCATTTTAACTTTGAGCGCCACTTTAGAAGGCTCAGCTGACCAGCTATGTGTCGGTGCTAAGACAGAGATTTCGCTTTCCTTGGACATGACAACCTATTTTCACAAATATATATGACTCTGCCTGGAGGACAGACGCAAGTAATCGCACGCGCTCAGTTGATCTCTCTCTGATTCACTGTCTGTTTAGGCTTGTTAAGTGCAAATCTACGGAGCCTCTGTACAAATCAGCATTGTACACATTGTTATCATTTCTAACTTGTTTAATATTCAGTCCACGTGCATGAAGTGTAAAACGAGAAAGGCATAACCTTTACGAAAAAAGAAAACAGGGTTGCATTCCTCTGCGGTTTGCTCGTCAATAGCGCGGTATTGCGATAGTGCGGTTATCGCGACAGCCCTTCTAATGAGGTCTTATTGTAAAGTGATAGCTATTGGTCTTTATAGTTCTTTTGCACTTTAATCTGTGTAAAACTTTTAACTTTATACATTTTTCTGTATTGCTTTATTGCATTTAAATGTTCAGTTATTTTTGTTATAAGAAAAAAGTTATTAAACCTGTTATACTGTATTATGACAACTAAATTTCAATATCGTGATAATACCGTGATAGAAGCATTCGCAATTAATCACAACATGAAAATTCGATACCGGCATATCCCTATGCCCAAGCAACATTGCTCAAAAAAAGTTGCCTGATAAAATTGCTCAAAAAGTTGCCCCGTGTATCATCAGCCTTAATGTACAAGAAAGAAGAGGTGTTTAAATTAATCGATGCATCGCGATGCGGACGTGGACGATTCTGCATCGATGCAGTAATAGACTATAATAGATTATAGCCTACTGACGGCATTTGCATACGCGCTTGGCACGCTAGAGCTTAAAATGACGGAGGGAGGCAAAACACCAAAGCAAGTATTAAAAAATACTTGTGTGTAAGTACTTTTTGTTTATCATTGTAATTGTCTTTTTCCCCTTTATTACTTTATATTTGCTTGTATGTTTTGAAGCTATATTTAGTTGGTTAGATTCTTAACAATTGTTTTGATTTATTATTAATTTGTAGGTATTTTAAAAAGTAGCCTGCTTAAAATTACACAAAATAAATTTTATATAAAATGAATATCAAAATGTGCCGTAATATTGAAAATTGAGGATGAGATGCATCGTCATGCGTTATGATATCGAATCGTTGACATGATAATTGGAATCAAATTGAATCGTGACACCCCGACAAGAAACTCTTAATTATGATTTCAAGAGGTCTTAAATTTGGGGACAGAAAGACCAGAATTGCGATATGGCTTAATATGACGATTAAACTTCAAAAAGCTATGATTTGATTAAATGAACATGAGCACTGCATGATTCAAAATCCACTGCTGCTGCTTTGTGTTCTGCTGTTACCGGGGAAAAGTTATATTTCTGCCATTCTGAAAGCGCCACCTGCTGGCAGAGAATGAATGTGTATTTTCAATAAGCCCATCTGCTGTTTTTGTTCAGACCAATGCAAAAATCGGCCCGTGTTTTTACCACAAAACTCATGTTTTTACCAGATAACTATAACTGTGAGCTCTAAGAGAACAGCAGAGTTCATGCCGCAACTGTAACAATAAGGACACAGAGGAACGATATCACTGGAATCACTTTCAGAGCGGCTTTATATTCACCTGATGAACGATAAAATTATTGGCAGCCAATCAGAAACATTTGACTTGATTGAGCATTTAAAGCGACAGGCGGCAAAACGGCAGTGCTTAGAATAAACAAAACATGATTGTGCGTTGGTATAGATGCTTTTATAGCCATATCTGTAATGATAACATTAACGATTATATTGTTATTTTAATAGTTATTTATAGTTATTGTCATTTTTAGCTATCGTTATTGTTATAGTTAATGTTTTTGTTATAGTCATTGTTATCATTATTGTAATAGTCGATACTGTAATATGA